TCTTTAGTAAATATGGGTTTTCTCCTTGTTTGAAGTGGAAGTGTAGATTCTTTCAGTGTCTTTAAATCATAACATTCTGTGTGAATTTCCTTGAAGTCTTTTCTTTGGCTTACATTGTAATATTTTGCCAGGGTACATCATTTAAACCATACTATTTTACTAGTTTCTAGTAATTAGATCAGAGAAGGAGGTGCATCACCTGGAATGTCCTTGGAGTGTGTATTTATAAACATAAAAAGGAGAAAAGGAAACTGATAGTAAAGTACGTAAAAATACAGTAAAGTATGGGTAAATAAAATGATATGCACTCACATTTTATAGGAGCTTAGGTGCAGCTCCAACTTAGATGCTTGGGCGGAATAATCCCCGCCTGAGCATATGGTGGAGTACAGACTCTATAGGAGGTTCTTGTGGATGCAGCTTCTCTTGCAGATATGTAGGAGAAATCAGAGATCTATAGTGCAATATGCCAGACTCAATATTAAAATATATAGCTATAAAAGATGTGCACTCACATGTACTGGAGCCTATAGAGTGGCTCCACAGGTATGGCATGAAGTGGTATGATCCCCACTCTAGGATATAGGTGCTGGTGGTCTCTCTCCAATTATATAAGTAAAAGAGAAAATTAAAACCACAATAGTGTAGAATGTAAAAAGTGATAAATAAATTTGAAATAGATAAATAAACTACTAGCCTAAAACGACACAGTATTAAGAATATCATAACATTTTGCAACATTATGTATTGTTCAAATTCCTACCTTTAGCCAACTAGGCACATACTACATGTGAGCATTATGCCCACATACATACCTTATCTTAGCATGCTCGTGCCATTTGTGGCACTGCATCCACTCAAAATGCATTGTATCTCTCCATCTACACCAAAATTACAGGTCCTATTTACAGTTCTAGATATGAGATACCATAGAGATACCATATGATCTCTAGAAATCCCTCATTTCTTTCCTTAAAGGCTAAGTGATTGAGTGGAGTATCTTGTTGTTGCAGAGCGAGGATCCTGAGTGGCCCCAAATACTTGACGTTCCTATTTGATGGTTTAAAAAGTTAGTTCATTTTAACATTTTATTCCAGTCAGTCTGCCCTATATTTGTGTCTTCTTTACTATATTCCTAAGTCCTGAAGACAGCTTTGAAAGACTTTGTACAGCTTGATTACTTGAAAGGTGCTTTACTGAGGGATATCCTGTGTGTGCATTTATTATTTTATGCGTTTTAGTCGGGCATCATAAAAATATACGCCAGTTTAGGAGTTCTCATTTTAGGATTCTTAATAATAATAATACATAAGAATGATGTATCCCTAACACTATAGTGCCCTTGTCCCTAGTCATATACAACATTGGAGACATGTGCGGCGAGTGCCATGCACACATCTAATGCTTCTCATAGCAAGCGTGGATTACATGTTATTCTATGTGATAAACCTTGAAACCACTATCCCCTCTCTCATGAGAGAATTTGACACACATGGTTACCTCAGAGCAGGGACGACCTAATCCAATAAAGTTTTCCCCTTTTGCTGGTTCAAAAGTATTAGGTATTTTGGGATTTGGTTGACAGATACCAAGTAAACATTCAACCATGGCTGGATAAATTCCAGAAAAAGCTGGACTGGGCATTACCACACCTCTCGTGGCTGGGTAGGGTGGAAGTTACTAAAATTAAATTCTATCTCTAGCTGTTCCAAGCCTTACTGATTTATATTCCCAAAGTCTTCTTTGTCTCACTCAGCTCTCTCATCTTCAAATACATATGACACAAGAGCAAGACACAGACAAGCTAGGATGCAATGGCACTGCCTAAGGAAGGGATCTGGCTCTCCCAGACTTCAGGAACTACTACTGAGCTAAACATCTACTAGGAGTGGTGGAGTTATTTAAGACTGTGATTTTGAAATTGTGGTAGGTGATTGAAGTCAGACTGGTTGGCAGATGTTAGTTATTCTACCATGGATGAATATACCAGACAGCCACAGGTTGGCCCAGCCTCATTCCTTCACTGAAGCAACACTCTAAGTATGTCACGCACTAGTGGTCTAGTTAGAGCCGTCCTCTTTGCCTTTTCTGCTGTTCTCCCTAGTAGACAATACTGCCTTCCCACTGAATTCCATTGCATTGAAAACTTATGTTGGTGATGCTTGGGGGCGGAGGGATTACTTCTCCATATTTGGTGGGAGTACTCATTGATACACCCATATTGGCAAAAGATTCATACGATGATTTGAAATTTTTCTGATAATTCCCCAACATTTCAGCCTGCCCCAGTGCTCCTCAATCATGCAAGAAATAGAAAATGAGCCAATTAAACCAGAACACACAGTGAAAAATGGGGGATAACCACTAAACAGTAAATTTACTAGAACAACAAAGAAAAAAGAGAAATTATGTGTGTACCTAACTAGATATAAAAATAATAAACCTTAATATGAAAAGTTTCATCTACATAAAGATCAGACAAAAGTAAGTATAAAAACAGGACACGTAGCAGATAGTTGTCCAAAAATAAAAACAATGTTTAGAGCTCACAACTTTTAGTTTAAACTAATACAAAATAACAATTGTGAGGGGCAGGGCCTGGCTGTCATGGAGGAGAGACTCCATCAATATTTCGCTGTAAGCAGCTTTCAGCAAGCTCATTTCACCCCAGAAGGGGATAACCCAGCCATGTTTCTCCTACCAGACTGACCTGACATGCTTAATAGCGATCAACGACTTGACAGAGGCTTACTCACCTCTTTGTGGCAAGTGCGGCTTGGTGCTTACCGGACGGGGGAGGTGGCCGATCTCCCGATCCTGGGATGCCCAAGAGCAGCTACTTTTTGTGGGGATGATCCCGTTCCATGCCTGGGAGGCTACCTAGAGTTATCAGACGCACAGGGGAAATCAGCTTGTTACATATCTTACTACTATCTCGTTATTAACTTAGAAATGTGCAGTTACTCAGACTAGCCTGATCCATGATCCCATAATGTCATTAATCATTACTGTATACAAGCAATGCCATGTCTAATGCTGTTATATCTTCTAAATGCACAACAAAAATAAAGAATTAAAAAAAAAAAACAATTGTAAATATAAAACTGTTGGAGCTCTAGAGGTAGGCTACTGATATGTAGAAATCAATAAAGCGGGAGAGAATTCATATAATTTCTCCTTAGATAAGGTAGATAAAGGGAGAACAGTATATCCATACTAAACCTAGCATGCCTTCGAGGTAAAGGCTAAACCCCCAATATATGACACAGCATATCGACCAAACGATAACATTAAGGAGTAACAGAGCTCTATATACAGATCTCAATAAATGTTATCTCTTCATCAGAATATGAGAATCTGGTAAAAATAAATAAGAGTATTTAGTAACACTATAGAGCACCTGAGGAACACGTTTTGCCATCAGAGGGGAAACGGGTTATAATTAGTAGGGGTTTATAGCGGTATAGCTGTCTGCCTATTGGTCATTAATGAATATATTTATATATATATGCCTTTACATATATGATATGTATCATATATATATATATAAAGGTAAATGTGCCTTTATATATCTTATATATAAATCTTATATATAAAGGCATGGGGGATGAAGAAACCTTTTGGGCAGAACATATATTGATATTAAGACAATGACTTTTGATTCATTATTTACAGATTGATGTTAAGGTTGCTTAGATGTTAAAGAAATGAACCAGGCAATATCTTTATTATCATGGAAATTGTAGATAATGTTGAATAGGGTTTTTTCACATGTGCGAAGTATGGGAAAGAAACGTGGTTTCACTAACTTTACTGTTAGCAAGGCCGGATTAACATAGGGGCTGATGGAGCTGGAGCTCCAGGCCCAGGCCCAGGCCCAGGCCCAGGCCCAGGCCCATGGAATAGGCCCATTGATTAAAAAAAAAAAAAAAAAAATTCTTTTTTTTGTTTTGTTTTTTTACACACTACTCTTAGAGTTGCCAGGTATTTCTCATATATTTCTTAGGCTTGCCAGGTATCAGGTATTTCTCAGAAGTATTTCTCAGGTATTTGAGGCTGCCTAGCCGGTGCCGGTATTGCAGTAATACCAGCAATACAAATGTCTGTCTCAGTATAAACAGAGATTGTTCTGCAATACCAACGCCGGCCAGTAGGGGTCGCTGTTTGTGTGGAGAAAGGCAGTGATAAGAAGTTACACCATCTCCCTACCTGCCTCTCTCTACTCACTGAGAGTCCAGACAGCAGCTCAGAGACATGGGGAAGCTGAGACATTGGGACACTGGGGAACATGAGGACCCTAGGGACACAGTGGCTCCATGTCTCTCAGTGTCCCCTAGTCTGTGTCCCCATGTCTCCCAGCCACTGTCCCTAGTGTTTCAGTGGCCCCATGTCTCCAGTGTCCCCATGTCTCTAAGTGTCCCCTAGTGTCTTAGTGACATCGGGACACTGGGAGACATGGGGACACAGACTCTAAGGGACACTGGGAGACATGAGGATACAAACACTAGGGGACACTGGGCAACATGGGGACACTGAGACACTAGGGTACACTGAGAGACATGGAGGCACTGGGGGACACAGGGAGACATGGGGACACTGGGCGACTTTGAGACCTAGGAAACATGGGGCACTCCCAGTGTGCCCATGTCTCCCAACCAGTGTCCATAGTATCTCAGTATCCCCATGTGTCCCTGGTGTCTCTCAGTGTCTGTAGAGTGCCAGTGTCCCTAGTGTCTCAGTGTTTCCTAGTCTCCCAAAGTCCCCTAGTCTCCCAATGTATCCCAGTGTCCCCATGTCTCCTTGTGTCTCAGTGTCCCCTAGTTTAAAAGAAAAAATCTCAGGCACTCACAGTGATAGATTTAGGCAGGTTTATTGGACACTGCAACGTTTCGACCTGTACCCAGATCTTTATCAAGTCTCCAATGTCCCCTATGTATCAGTGTACTCTATGTATCAGACTGTCTCAGTGACTGTCTCAGTGCCTCATGTCTCACAGTGCCCCATGTTTCTCTGCCCGTAGTGTCTCTGTGCCCGTAGTGCCTCAGTGTCCCCTCGTATAAAAGAAAAAAATTTCAGGCACTCACTGTGATAGATTTAGCCAGGTTTATTGGACACTGCAACATTTTGACCTGTACCCAGGTCTTTATCAAGTCTCCAGTGCCCCCTATATCACAGTGTCTCAGTGCCCCATGTCTCCCAGTGTCCCCTCATGTGTCACCCAGTGTCCCCATGTCTCCCAGTGTCCCCAGGTCTCCCAGTGTTCCCTAGTATCTGTGCCCCCATGTCTCCCAGTGTCCCCATGTCTCTCAATGTCCCCTAGAGTCCTAGTGACATGGGGACACTGGGAGACATGGGGACACAGACACTAGAGGACTGGGAGACATGGGGACACAGACATGCCTGCCTTTTTGTGTATGTTCACCCTTTCGGCCGTTCTGGTTATGTGATTTGTGTCAGTGGGGATATGGGTTGACTTGAAAGATGAAAGCGTGAGATTAGCAAAGGGTATGTGCTTTCTCATAGTTGCATCCTATGAGTTTCCCTCCAGCACCATCTCCATCAGATACATGGCACTTAGGAGGTAGGACTGTTTTAGTGTTTTTGGTCAATAAGATTTTGTAATTAGGCCCATCATAATTATCAGCACCAGGCCCACTGGGCTCTTAATCCGGCCCTGACTGTTAGTAGCAGATGATCAACTGCAGGCGCTTCTGTAGCAAATTGGTGTGTCCCCAGCGGAACCCAGGTATGTTTTCACATTTGTTAACCATTCTTAGACAGCTTCATTACTTTGTAAGGATGCATGCACTCCTGGCAACATAACTGCTAATGTACGCTATAGTGGTTATAGTACTTCTGTAGAGCACTAGAGTGTTCCCTAAAGGTTGACATCACCTGGGAGTCTGCATTTTGGCCAGCCAGTTTTACCTCCATCCCTTGCTAATAGTTGGCTTGATTTGTCTTTATCAATCAAATTTGATATCAATATTGAAGAGGTAATTATATTTATATACACACAATTATACATACATATATTAGTGTTTGTTTTTACATTCATCTTTTTGTAAAAGAAATATAGCAAAAGAGACCTCAGTGACAGATGCTGTTATGCTGTCTGTGTAATGTGGATCATTGCTTATAAGCCAGGATGGTACAGTAAGGTAATGACCAAAGTGTAATATAATCATGATTTTAGATGACATTATATCTGCCTTTCTCACATTATAATTATCAATATCTAGAACCATGCAGTGCTTTTTTCCGATCCATGTGCATCTGTCCAGTGTAATTTTTTCTTATTATCTTCGTTTTGCTCAAGCTGAGTTCTATGAGACTTGTTTACTTTGAACATAGCTTGGTGTCTAACATAGATCTTATCTAACCAACATTTATATTTATGTATTTTGCAGTGTTAATGGTATTGCTTGAAGCCCCGTGACACTCAGATTTGTAGTCCCTGCAAATCTAGGCCATTAGTACTGTTAACAAAAACCTTAAAATATATGATCCAGCTCATGCCAACAGAAATTCAATACAGAGAAAAATATATTTAAATCAATTTTGTTTTTTGTTTTTTTTTCCCCCATTCATTTATCCACCTTTGAGATTGTGTTAACTCCTTCTACACATTTGCAACAGAGACATGGTAAAGCATATGGTATTTTTGTGTTTTCACAGAGAAGTTCAGTTGTTATATTGCAGTGTTCTTTTTTAAACAGTGTTAAAATCCCTTAATTCCATTTTTACTAGTGTATTCTTTATTAGCAAATCACACTGATAATTCTAAATGATCTGCTTTACTAGAAATAACCACATCCTATATGTGCCATATTCTAGCTGATATCAGTACTGATGATTTGTGGGAAGAATCATGTTTAAACTCTTCTGAACATATATGAGAAGTTATTGTAAATATTTTCCCCACCAACGTCATGCATGCAAAGACTGACAGAGGGCATAGGTTAATTGCACCCAATCCAACTAATGTACAGCGAATTTTGGTCTGCAACTTTATAGCACTGTCTTTCTACATATTAAATGTTGTGGGAGTTTAATTTATATTCTTTGTGCTCTTTGACTAGTGGCTTGTCAAAACTCCAGGACTCACAGTATCTTAGGACAATCAAGTATATCATATTGTGCCCTTGGAGGTATTGGCAAGTAATTACATGTACAACTTTAATCAAAGTACTCATCCTTGCATTGGCCTTAATTTGTAGCAAAGGAGTCCCAGGGAAGAAAGTCCATGTCTCTAATGATGTACATACCTTTTTAAAAGCTCCCTCTCACAGGTGATTTTAATTGACCCAACTCATATCTATGTAGTGCATGTGCAGTGTGAGCTGGACTGGAGCATATATTGAGAGATGTATGCGATAGAACAAAATAGAACTGATCCACCGTCCAAATAACACTGACTGAAACAGACCATGCTGATACACAGCAGACTGTATGTGTATCAGCATGGTCTGTTTCAGTGTAAGACCTCTTCTAAAATAGGAACCGTGAGCCTACAAGTTACTGTTAATAGTAAATTACTTTTTATGCTTTGGTAATGTGCAACATGTTGATGCATATATGCTTATATATGTGACATACATATACATTTGTAAGTGTACATGTCTATGTGAATGTGTATACATCTGCATGGGTCTGGGGACATCTGTTTGTGTACCTAGTCTAAATCCATTTGTGTCTGTTATATGTGTAGGTAATATTCTGTGTTAATATATCTGAAATTCACTATTCTGTATTATTGCTTGAATACATTTGAGTACTTGTCTAGTTTGTCCAGTGGTCCTTATTTAGGTAGAAGCCACTAAATAATGGTCCACTAATGAAAATGGGTTTTTAAAGACTGTGGAGCGTCCTGCCGTGACTACTTTGGATGCACTGTACTCAAATGTTATTTACTGGTTTAGGTATATGGGTGTATGTGTTCTGTGTACAGTGTAGTATATTTATTGAAATTAAAATATTAAATAGAAATAAAAGCATTTTGTCCACTTTGCCAGCTAAGGACCAACCAGCTAGAGAGGCAGACTGGCCACAATTATGGAAATCAAGCTGCACAGCTGGGGACCGTATATGAGTGGTGAACCTTCATTATTGTTTTAAAGTGTTTTACTAAGACTCCAGGTAACTATATGAGTCTACGAATGTGAGTTCAATTTTAGGAGGATTAGAGCTTTGTAGCTTGGGCATATGATATTGATCTTTTTTTTTTTTTTCTGCTTTTATGCATTTTAGGGTATTTTGGAAGAAAATAAATATAATTCATATATCTTTCAAGTAGGTGTCACTTTTTAATGGTGCACACGGTTCATGTGTTTTTGCTGTCTACAAATATTTATTCAATGAGCAAATAATTTTGGTGGGTAGCACTGGGCAACATAAATACCCAAGTCAGAAATATAGTCCAATTTGCCAGCGTTGGCATAACGTTTTCAGATAGTACAATAGTAGCTCACCATAGCTCATTTTTATAATATATATTTTTAGAACCATCCAGAATTGTTTTCTTTGTAACATAAAATAACACACCAATGGTAATAAAATAGTAGTGGGGGTAAAATGTTTAAATATATTACTCTTTCCACTTGTTAATTGCAGATAGAAGACTCCTCTCTGTCTTCTTTAACACATATAAACCACAAAATGTACAACATAAATATCACCATATAGTGTAATAAAGTTTAAAACACCATATAAAAAAGGGTGGACTATTGCACTCACAAACGTAGGTGGTTATCAGGCAGGAAAAAATAATCGCTGTATCCAGGATCAGTCAGTGTTCCAAATCCCCATATTCTCAGTAGTACATAAATGGGACTAAAGTAAAAAAAAATATAGTGCAAAACTGTGTTATGATAAAAATAATGACTTTAATAATATTGCACTCACACATTTATAAATGGTTTAAGGCATACTTGTTAAAAGGTCCACAGCAAAAAGGGAACTTCTCCAGAACGATGTTCCTGGTGAAAAATCACTAAGGATATCCTAGAATGCAGTAAAAACACTTAAGAAGTCCCAGCATACAGCAAAGAATAAAACAAGATAAAATATAAACCCTACGTGTTTTGTCCACTAATGCGTGGACTTCCTCAGGGGTATTAATGTAATTCTGCAGCCTTGAAAACTCATAGCGCCCGCCTGACTTTAAATATCCTGGTTGGCACCTCTTACGGATCGCTCTCGGCCAATCTGCTTGGAGTCCTAGAGTTCTCCACAGCTATTTCTTTTATTCTGCTAATTTCTATTTTTATTGCCGAATTTTCTTCTAGCTGCATTAGGCCATTCTGTGAACCACCAATGATAATACTAGTTTATTTAATAACTAAATGATGCAACTTTGAAACTTTAGTGATGATGAAGTACATCCCTTGGGTAACCAATAAAGAAGGCTTCTGTTCTGTAGAGAGAGAGTCAAATATCTGTATGGCTCCACCTTCAGATCAGAAATGACAAGAAAAGTGCTGTCCTGCCATAATATTTTAAACCATAACGCAAGGGAATGTAATGCAACTTAAACCCATTAAAAGTCATATCCATACATCTTGCTTCCATTTACCTTTACAAATATCCCTTCTCTCTTTCACATATGACAGATGTTTCCAAAATCCCAAGATGATATTTCTTCCACAAATGCATGCTTTGGTGTAAGGCCTCTTTTACAATGTTTTTAATTTAGGGTTCTATCCATGGTGAGAATGAGGGTACAAAATCAAGTAAACCACAAAATCTAGTAGAATAATTGGAATAATTAAATCTTGGAATAGCACTTGGGCACCCTTTTCATGTCCAATGTAAGATTGGTAGACTCCTGGACAACAGCTACTATTTTTGGTTCCAACACAACATTTAGTCATTTTGTAAATTTTGTCAACTAATTAGCTCGGCTTTTTTTTTTTGCCTGCTTAATTTTATATAGTTGTGCGCAAAAATAAATAATTTTTTTTGCTGCATTCTACATCTTAATACTGCCTCATCTGTCCCATCACCCCCATTTTAAAAAGTATGCTTGTTATTTTACCTTGGTATATCATTATGTGCCTTCTGTAACAGAGTTAGCACAACATAATGAGTTTCTGGGAGTTGGAGTCCAGTTAGAGCATATTATTGAACTACAAAGCCTAGAAATAAGTTCTATATTTTATGAAAAATACAGGCTGTGCACATAGAATTGAAATCTGATAGTCTGCCTCCCAAACCACATGCACACATGCAGAACTGGATTTATACAGCATGCCAGAGATATGGAAATACAAATTATCTCTG